ATGTCTTGTAATGGGGACAACACTCCCTACCATTATTTTCCAGGAGAAGGACTTTGGGTTTCTCAGGTGGCAAATCCGATGTAATTAAAAATACTTAAAATTTGCACTCATGAGATATGTTATAGGCAAACAAATTTTTGATAAAATTGTGAAGAAGATGTGACCATATGAAAAAGGATCTATACATATCTCCTGGAGAGAAATTTGATGGCTACTAGACTCCTGCAGGACTTGATGACCAGCTGAGGGAAATGACAAAGAGAGATCCTTTGAAACTCACAGCATAACAAAAGGAGGTGTATAGTACAATAAGCTCTTTGGTCACTGAAAGACTGTATCAATGCACTCCGCTTTTTCTTTCATGTCAGTTACCATGGAATTTAAAACCAAAATTTATATTAATTCAAACCATGCCAATTGTATTCTTTCCTTCAGTCATAGATTCATTCAACCAATGTTTGATAACACCTAGTGGTTGCAGGCATGGTATTTTTACAACAGCATTTATCTAAAAAAGAGTTCATGTTCCCCAGAAATTCTTTTCCAAGTAAGGTAATTTTTAACTTTTATTTGGAAATAAATTTAGACTTACAAAGAAATTGCAATAGTACAAAGAGCAGCATATGCCCTTTACCCAGATTCTCCTATCGTTAACATTTTGCCCCATTTTCTTTATCATTCTCAACCGTTTGAGACTACATTACATACCTCATGGACCTTTACCCTAGACGCTTCAGTATGTGTTTCCCAAGAATAAGGATATTCTCTTACATAGCCACAGTCCAGTTACCAACTTTAGTAAATTTAACATTGATGCAATATTCTAGCTAATCTATCATCTGTATTCCAAATTTGTCACTTGCCCCCAAAATGTCTTTTATAACATTTTTTTCCTTCAGAACTGAATTCAGTCTAAGGTTAGGTGTTGTATTTAGTTGTCATGTTCCTTTAGTGTCATTTGATTTTGAAAATTCCTTTAACCTTTCTTTGTCTTTTATGACATCGACATTTTTGAAGAATTTATTCTTTTCTTTTTAATAGAATGGTCTTTAGTTACAGTTGTTTGATATCTCCTCATGATTAAGCTCAGATTATGCATTCCTGGCACAAATTTAATATAAGTGATGTTATGTCCTTCTCAAGGTATCACATCCAAAAAAGATAACACTTTTTAAGTAAAAAGAGAAAACAAAAAACATAGGTCTTAATAGACTAAATATACAATATAAGAATAATCTCCTGTTAATTTAATATGCTTTTTCTAAATGAAGTAAAATGTTTTTATTACATAAAATAACTCTTTATGTTTAGAACAAGTAAGCAAGCCAACATTTTATGCATATATTTTCTGAGATTTTCTGTTGACTACCTTTTCTGTGATTTTGTTTTATCATCAAGCATTCAATAGCTGTGGGCTATTCAGTAGCCTACGATAGCTGTAGGAGTGAAACATCCAGAATTATTTTTATAATATTCATTATATTACTTCAAGTGAGTTTTCAAAAATTGTCTTCTTTTTCAAGTATATTTGAAATTAAGATATCCAAAATGAAAATATTTGCATTTGCCCCCATGTCACTGGCTTTTTTAATCATAACCTTCACTGAATTAAATGAGCCATTTAGGTCTTGTTGCAACAGACATTAACACTTTGTCTCTGAATTGACACTAAAACTACCATTAAATATGGTATGATTTCATGAGACTGAGGCTCTGGTTCACTACACGTCTGTATTACAGATGAATTCTAGAGAAAAAGTGCATCCTGACAGATGGTTTCAGTTCATTGTACTTTTTCTTAAAGAACATTTGTTTTCGATTTGTCTATAAATAATGAAAGAAAACACAGCTGAGGAGCCCAGTGTGATTTTCATAGAAGGCTCATTTTTGGAAATCTGATAAGCTTATAACCACATATGTTTAAAATCATTCTAGTATAAAATTAAGAAACTTGGGGTGGGGGAATCCTACTTGTCAGGCAACTCAATGTTTATCTATCGATTACTTAGCACTATTTGTCAAACATTTTGTGTTTTTAGAAATTTTAGGGAAAAATTTAAATACATGTTAAACTTAACAATGCTTTTTAAAAAATTTGAGCATGTAGATAATTATTTATGAATCATACTTTAAGGTTGTAAGTACATAGGCAAATAGAAACAAAAAATGTATGTGTTAATAATGTAGAATAAGAGAATTCTGCATGTGCACATGGACACGCTGGAAATAGAGAAACACATTTGCACATGTGGGCACAGTGGGCATAGGTATGTTTGCATCTTTAAGAGGATCTGTCTTATACAATTCTTCTTAGAAAGGCATAAACTTAGCAATACAAATCAAACAAAAAAAGAAATTTGAAAAGGTCTTCAAAAAAAAAAAAAGGTCTTCAAGATAAAATATACTTTTCTTTCGGGCAACAATCTAGCCAACAGAATTTAATTTTATGTGTTCTATAAATTCTTCAGTAGATAACAATTGCGACCAAATCCTTACTTATGTCAGACATAATGTTCTGCTGTGGAAACTCAACAAGCAAATTCCAACCGGAAATAAGTTTGTTACATGCATGTATTAATCATTCTGGAAGGTAGTGTGAGCAACTCAAATCACAGTTTCGTTAAATTAATTTCGAGCTGAATTTCAAACACTGAATGAGATATTTAAGAGCCTTCGGTAAGAATTTAAACAATAGCTTTAAATAGTTTAAGAGAACTATTCTTTAGCATACATTTTTATTAATATTATGCCTCCTACTATCCAGTTTATAAAGGTAAACTTTAACAGACCACAGTGACAAAATACACACTTCACATTAATGTTCAAAACTAAATCTAAAAATTTCTCTTCATCAACTTTGAGTAATACATTTAGGACTGGAAGAAGCCAAAAGAGTCCTTCCTTGGTTTCTACCTATTGCTCTAAGAAAATATACATAAGCTAAAAGCTCTCCTTCAGAACTACCCAGCATGTCATCTGTCCCTTGGACATACAAAGATAATCCAAATGCATGATTCCCCCCAAATTGAAATCCTAGATAAACATGGCGTACTTCACAATTCTTTTTTTTTTTAAGGATTTTTTAAAAATTTTTATTGGAATATAGTTGCTTTACAACGTTGTGTTAGTTTCTGCTGTACAGCAAAGTGAATCAGCTATGTGTATGCATATATCCCCTCTTTTTTGGATTTCCTTCCCATTTAGGTCACCACAGAGCACTGAGTAGAGTTCCCTGTGCTACACAGCAGGTTCTCACTAGTTATCTATTTTATACATAGCAGTGTATATATGTCAATCCCAATCTCCCAATTCATCCCACCTACCCCCTTTCCCCCCTTGGTGTCCATACATTTGTTCTCTATGTTTGTGTCTCTATTTCTGCTTTGCAGATAGGTTCATCTGTACTGTTTTTCTAGATTCCACATATATGTGTTAATATACTATATTTGTTTTTCTCTTTCTGACTTACCTCACTCTGTATGAGAGTCTCTAGGTCCATCCACATCTCTGCAAATGGCACAGTTTTGTTCCTTCTTATGACTGAGTAATATTCCATTATATATATGTACCACATCTTCTTTATCCACACCTCTATAGATGGACATTTAGGTTGCTTCCACGTCCTGGCTATTGTAAATAGAGCTGCAATGAACATTTTGGTACATGACTCTTTTTGAATTATGGTTTTCTCTGGGTATATGCCCAGTAGTGGGATAGCTGGGTCATATGGTAGTTCTATTTTTAGTTTTTTAAGGAACCTCCATACTGTTCTCCATAGTGGCTGTATCAATTTACATTCCCACCAACAGTGTAAGAGGGTTCCCTTTTCTCCACACCCTCTCCAGCATTTATTGTTTGTAGATTTTTTTGATGATGGCCATTCTGACCTGTGTGAGGTGATACCTCATTGTAGTTTTGATTTGCATTTCTCTAATAATCAGTGATGTTGAGCATCTTTTCATGTGCCTCTTGGCCATCTGTATGTCTTCTTTGGAGGAAATGTCTATTTAGGTCTTCTGCCCATTTTTGGATTGGGTTGTTTGTCTTTGTGATATATTGAGCTGCATGAGCTGTTTGCATATTTTGCAGATTAATCCCTTGTCAGTTGCCACAATTCTTTTAATAAAGAATTACTCTTTGGTCAAAAGGTACAAACTTCTAGTCATAAGGTAAGTAAGTTCTGGGGAAGTAATATTCAGCATGGTGTCTACAGTTAACACTACTGTACGGCATACTTGAAAGTTGCTATGAGAGTGAATCTTACATATTCTCACCACACACACAACTGAACTTACCTGAGGAGACGGATGTGTCAACTCGTCTTATTTGTGAATCGTTTTGCAGTATATACATGTATCAATTCATCACACTGAACACCTTAAACTTACACAATGTTATGCTACTTATCTCTCAGTAAAGCTGGGAAAATAATTAATTAATTTTTAAAGAATCACTTTACAGTGGTCATCAGACTAACTGCCTTTTTTAAAGACTTCTCGCATACCATTTCTAAAGCCAAATGAGTGGAAACTGGTCAAAGCTGAGAGAAAGGTGAAATCTGACAACTCACAGACTCAACCTTGCTGTTATTGATGGAGAAACATATGAAGGCATCCTTTGTCATAGTAGTTTTCTTTAGATTTTGCACATTTTTGCCAAAGAATCACTGAGATACAAATGTCACACGAATGAGTAAGACAGAGGATTTCCTTCTGAACACAATTGACAGAACAGGTGCTGTCTAAAATGGAATTTATCCAACCGCCAAGGAAGGATGCACTTCACATTTGTCAAAGGTTACTCACATTTCTCATCAAACACGAAGAAGCTGCTTGTACCATAAAATAGAAAATGTCGGAATTTGGAGAATGGCAGAGGAGTTAGGAATGTGGACGTGGGAGCCAACCATCAAGTTTAAATTCTAAATTTGCTGTTAATTTGCTGTGTATTCTTGGGCACTTAGTTTCCTTTATCTGTACAATGAGAATCATACTACTTACCTCTAGAGTCATCATGAAGATTAAAGGAACTAGTGTACGTGAAGTACTTAGAACACTACCTGGAACAAATCAGTGCTCAAAACTATTCCTTATTATTATCTTCTTTCCTAGAGCAACACAACATGAGGGAACACATTAGCCAAAATCTTCTTTCACCAAAGATTGGCAATTTGATTTCTCGCAGTTGGCCTGATCCCGGCATGTCTATTCAGCCAGTCTTACCTTCACGAAGAGCTTTATTGTTGTTGTTGTTGTTACTATTTTTATTAAAATCATTGTTTGGCTTGATCTCATCTTAATAGGCAAAGCACACAACTCTAAAACAATGTTGGGTCTATTTAGTACAATCTCCATTTTAATCAGTTTCCACAGTGTTTTATGTTGATCAGGCCACAAACAGCTACTGAGTATTGAATCAGCTCTTAACACTCTGCAAGGCACAGTGAGAAAACATTTCGGAGGCTTCCGGTCTTATTAAAGAGGCTAGATTTAATGACCTGAAATGATTAACGAACAGCCCCTTCAATACTGTCCTTGGTCACATCCTCCTTGCTTCAACTTCCTCTACCACACTAGGTACAAAGTCTGGATTTCCACAGCTTTTTGTTTCCTCTGTTTTTCTCAGTCCCAGAACTTCTCTGCCTCGATGGTAAGCAAGTTCAAGTTCACCCACCCTTACAAGACCCTTGCTGCCGCTCAGTATGTTTCTTCATCTTTTAAATCCTTTTCACACTTCCTAAAACTGCTCTAATAATGGGTATACGGAAGGAAATACAGGTTCTGCAATCTTGGACTTGGAGTTTAATATGAGCCTATAAGTAAGTGTGTTACTATTTAAGCCTCAATTTCCTTATCAGCAAAATAGGTAGAATAAAGACTTTATAGTGCTGTTGTGGAGCTTAAAAGAGAGTGTATGTGAAGTGCCTACACAGTACCTCCATCACAGAAGACACTCAACGGCTTCTTCAGGCCCTGCCATCCCTCGCACTCAGAAAACCCCCTGGGGTACCACTTCACTGAGGAAACAGAAACCATTTTGCATGAGCGGTCTCTTACTTTGATTTAAACTTTCAAAAACCATGGCTCTCCATTCCTCTCTTCTCCTTTCCCTCCTGCCTTGCGGGAAGACAGATCTCTCCCATCCAGAGCTCACACCTCCGCTCGCTCCCTAACTTATTTAGCAGGCATTATCACCTGTTTATTTTGTGCCAGGAACATTCACGGTACTAGTGATTCAGAGGGGTGCTGCCTTCAAGAGCTGGGGGCGGGGAGAGGGACAAGCAAACAGGGTCACAACACAATGAGGTCCGCATAAGGAGGGCCAGGAACTTAAGAGAACAACAGCAACAAAACAAAACAAAACCAGCTAGCAAAGCAATTTGATTTTCCGTCCTTCGATCTCATCACACCAGAAGATAAAACCACCTAAAAATGAAACTTTTGCCTTCTAGGGTCCACTCACCTGGATTCTGTTTACAGTTTAAGAACACAGCAGATTCACCAGTGTCACAAGGCCCTGGGAACCAGCACCTGTGGGCACAAATGAACACCTTAGCCTTTCCAAGCTTAGACAACCTGCTCGACCCACCACTGAACATTCCTCTCTGATTTATTCAGCAGTGACACCCATCCCTACCTGCATCCCTGTCCCCTACACACACGCACGTGTGCACACACACACACACACACACACACACACACGCCCCTGCAGGGACAAACTTCAGTAGTCACCTCAACCCTCACATATACCCAGTTACACATCACATTCATTCATTCCATTACTCATATGCAGAAAATAGTCACTCAACTTGCTTTCTCAACCCCCAAGCTGCTTTCTCTGACACCTCCAGTCCTTTACTTCTCCTGGCTTTTGATACTCTGACTTCAAATAGCCACATGCATGCCTCCCCCAGTGTCCTCCACATGAGCTGAGTGTCCTGTTCGTAACCAAAGTTCGTAAGTTTTCATGATTGCTGCCTCTGCTTTCTCTCCTAAGGCATTCATAAGGTGGCTTCTAACCCTATACTTTCAAAAGCCCACAATGGTCTTCCAGTTTACAGATGCGGTGGTCTATTCTCAGGCGTCCTTTTCTCTGCAGTGAACCTCTCTGAGGATTTTTTTTGTCTTTGTTTGCTCCATCCTCCTTTCTGCCCTGTCTCCTTTTTTATTTTTTAAATAGAACAATGCTTACCCTATTGCCATCTACTTCTAATCTCCTTCCTTACTTTCTCGTTTTCTTTCCCATCTCAGAAAATGAGTAGTTTCCAAAATCTAGTCCTTGTTGAGTGATCTTATTCATTTCCAGGCCTTCAGCTAGCACTCAATATCATTCCCAAATTTCCATTTCTAACTAGGGCTCACTCTGGAACCCAAGTCTTGCAACCCAAGCCACCTATGTGACATTACCAATGCAATGAACTGCAGTCATTTCAAACATCCCATCTAAAAAAGTTCACTACTTATACACAAAACCCCAGATTCTTCTCCTGGCTCCTCCATGTCTCCTACTCATCAAACTTGAAATCTCAGAGTGATTTTTCAATCTGTTAGCCTTTCCGAGCTTAGACAAATTTCCAAATCCTGTAAGTACTCCCTTGCCACTGTCTCGCACATCTGTCTCCACTTTGCTCTTCTCACTGTCTTCACCTCATCAAGGCCTTTACACACACCTAGAACACAGCAACTGTCTCCTAACCAGTTTCTCTGCCTCAGATATTCCATCCCCACCCGATCTGTCCCGTACGTTTCCTGTAAATGAGTCTTTCCACGTGATAATATCATCACCCTGCCCAAACTTCTTCCACGGCTTCCCCAAACATACACATATCTATAAGCTGATCATCAGGGCCTAACACACTTTTTAGATTCACCTGCCACAACTCTTCTCTCGGGTCAGACTGCTCCGTTAGCCAAGCTCCAAAACACTTTTGTACCTTTGGTCACCGTTCCCTAGAAGACAACACGTGTTCCCTCGCCATTTCACTTCTAGCCAAATACTCCCCATTTCTTCAAGGCTTGTTTCAAGCCCACCTCCCCCCGATTCTAAGATCACCCCCACTTCCAGTGATCTCTGAAGCATCCTGAATCCTAGCACTCTTTATCTCTCCCACTCACCTCTTCACTAGCTTGGTGGCTCCTTGTGAAGTCAGTTACATTTTTATATTTATCTCTTGGGTTTGGAGGTCTTTGAGGAAGAGTGTCGTGTTATCCTTTAGGAAGATTACTCTTGTGGTGGCTTGCAGGATGGATTGGGTGGAGATGGGTGGCTGCAGGTGAGGAAACCAGCTAGTAACCGATCCCAGGGTCAAGATGTAAGGTGACGAGAGAAGAGTAGAGATACATTTACTGAAGAGCTGCCTCCCAAACTGGATTTGGGAGCATAGTACAAAATGAAAGATAAAATGCATTTGTATTACAAGATTAGAGAACACCATGAAGGCTTTATTTCATAAGAAAAAAAAAAGAAAATTAGCAGGATTTTAGGAAAAAATAGTGAGAACATCAATATGGTTCACTTGGAGATTTTGTGGTCAATGTGTTGTCAAGGAAAACTGTTGATATTGAACTTTATAGTTTTACCAGTGTTTCAGTGTGAATTTTTCCCTCCTGGTTAACTTTAAAACAAATGCAGTATAATGGCAAATTACATATTTAAATTTGGTTAGGATCCAATAAGCAATTCTTTGTTTATTCCCTACTACTTCCTGTGATAGGAAATTATAATTCAACTCAAGCACTGTGAAAAGAACTGATTTTTATAGAACATTATCTTTAAATGATAATAAGCCTGAATGTACAAACCTTTTACTATTCAAATCATCTATATTCATTTAGTGCTTAATTCAGCTCCCCAGAGCATAATTGTTTGAAATTCTACTTTGGTAAATAGGCAAACCAAATCCAGTCGCTATGGTAATTTGGGCTTCCTTGGTTATATTTCCCACAGTTCTTTCATGTTAATAATTGTTTTCCCTACAGGTGAAATGTCAATGACACTGATTTTAGCATCCTGTATTTGCAATAGCTGATCCCTTATCAGAGCCCCTATTTTATCAATTGAAAAGTTCAAGGGAAGGTTAGCCCTGATATCTGTAGCAATGCAATGCAATGCTCCTGCACGTTTTTTTCTTTTCCTCTTTTCAGCTTTGCTGATTTTTGTGTTTATTTTCTCATGGTTTCAAAACTTACTCTACCAAATTCCCAAGTCTGGAGTTATTTTCTGTCACTGCAGTCATTGAAGCATAGTATTGTTTTGTTCGCCATCCGGAACATCCTCCAGTTCCACGCAGAGGGGAAGAAGAGGAGAAGAAAGGGGGAGCAGGTGCAGAAGTTCTATTCACAAGGGCACTGACCCTCAGCAGGGGCGTGACAGGGCTTTAAAATAGGATTAGACACCCAAACAAGAAAAAGGTCACACTTGACATTTCCACTGGAAATACCAATGCAAATAGAGCTGATCCTAGGAACATTTTTCACACATACACAGACACACATACACACACACACACAATTTTAGATAGGTCCAAGAGAAAAATGATGGATTTCAATTAATTATTTCCCTAAAAGCTCGAAAAAGCAACTATTGGAAACAAGGCTCGACAACAACAGCAAATATGATCAAAAAGCTCACTTGAAAATGTTTTTTCTTTTTTACTTATTTGTTATTTCTAAGGTTTGCTCTTTATCATGGGAAGAAAAATAAGAATGGAGTTGATGGGGAAAATGACATAATGATTTGGAATCTTTGATTATGTTGTATTCAAACTCATTTGTTTTTAAAAATTTAGTCCCTAATCATATCAACCCCATTTCTACCTGCAGTTGTCTCATCTGTCTTCTGCATAGTTGATGATAGATTAATAACTTTTTTCTGTCTATTTTCTATTTGTATATTCAAAAGTAGCTGACTGGAGCATCTAAGACCAAAGGAAAATTTGGAGACACCTAGAGGACGAAATCTATCTCATGCTGCTTCAGGATCCACCAATACATATTGAAGATTTCCAAATCATTCACCAGAAAGCAGATTGTCCATTGAACTCATAGCATTACTCTGAAGGACTCATGTACCTTCCAGCTTCAAAAACGTACATCTTCATTGGTGCAACTGAGATTGAGACATATGTGACCATTAACGATGCCCCCCAAAGTAAGCCAGACCAACATAGATTTATTCCCAATACAAAGAATTCTTGGAGGAACAAGTAAATTCTAGAGCCTTCATGAATACTGTCACCCAAAGCCAGTCCAAGAAAAATGTACCTGCTGTGTATACTCAGATGTTAACATATTAGATATATATTAAAGGAGGTTCACATATACACAAATTGTTAAGGTTCTTGAACGTTTGTTTATGGAAAACATGTAAGTCAATTCTACCACAGAGAAATTAAAACCCTTTAAATGAAGAACTTTCCTGACCTGTATGGTGGGACACGGGGGAGCAGGGCCAAACTCCACTCCCGTCCAGTGACCACAGGTTTTGAAATTGTCTGTCAAACTCAAATGATGTCCCGTGCAGTCTTTTATTAGTCAAAGTTATGTAGAGCTGTCACAGTATCTAACTGGTACAAGATTACCTGGGCTAAATAACTGAGTTTCAACCAAAAGTAAAAGCAGAAAAAAGAAAAAGAAAAAAGTAATCCTTCCATGGGAAGAGGTATGATTCCATTGTTATTTGAAATTATAAAAATAAATTCAAGGACTCTCATAAATACCTAAGTTAGCTCCTAAGGACTCCATATCTCAACCTACGAGACCTTCCATAAAAACTGACGCAGCTCCCACGAAGTCTGGCTGACTTTAGCCTGGTACATGCCTGACTACATTCTCGTCTCACAAGTTGAGTGTATTAATCTAAATTGCTCCTTTACTCTTAATGAAATCCAAGAACCTGTCATTGAGGAAAATATTCTTTATTAAAGATCAGCTTTAAGGTCACAATGGCAAGATTTTTTTAAAATCACATATGGTATTCAGAATGTGTGGATATTAACTGTAATGGAGACCCTGAAGAAAGTGAGACATAGACTTTAGCTTAAGATGAATTTTGGAAAGCTTCTTCTTTGCTGAAATTATTGTGATTTACCAGTCAAGAGAAAGAATTTGTGTAAATTACCTTTAAAAATATTCTAACAGCAATATCTAATTTTACCTTCCGATGTGTGGCAAAATAATCCACCGAAGTACTTATATGGCTATTACCACTGGAACCAATTAAGAGTTTAGCAGAAGATGCAATATTAAACTGAAATGTGACTTGGGACTCTTGATGACCATATTACGTAAAGAAGTTAAGGCAAAAATTCATAATTACAAGGATATCATTTATTTTTCTTTACTAAAGAGCTATAGGACTTTATGAGAAAATGTAAAATGTGTCTCGGGAGATACAGGGAGACCAGAAAAGAAGGGATCAGATCACCTATTCAAAACTCTTAGATTACATGGAAAGGGACGAGAATACATATTTTTTTTTAATAAATTTATTTATTTTACTTACTTATTTTTGGCTGCATTGGGTCTTCATTGCTGCAGACGGGCTTTCTCTAGTTGCAGTGAGCGGGGGCTACGCTTCGTTGCGGTGCACGGGCTTCTCATTGCGGTGGCTTCTCTTGTTGCGGAGCACGGGCTCTAGGCGCGTGGGCTTCAGTAGTTGTGGCGCACGGGCTTAGTCGCTCCACAGCATGTGGGATCTTCCCAGACCAGAGCTCGAACCCGTGTCTCCTGTATTGGCAGGCGGATTCTTAACCCCTGCGCCACCAGGGAAGCCTGAGAATATTTTTTAACTTCTAAATATAACGTTCAATTTTTTGTCCAATTACGAAAGTAAAACATGCTGATTACGTAAACTTTGAAAAATACAAAACTTAAAGTCTTAACATCTGTAAATAATTACTGTTTCAGGGGTTTTATTATGTATATGTGTACATGCCTAAATAAAGTATTTCCATTAAAAGAAGATTATACCATTTATATAATCCCATGCACTTTCCAGTCCCTCTCTAGTTACTTCCTCAGGATCAAGTTTTAGGGGAGTTAAAATATATAAACATTTGTAGTAGGGCTTCCCTGGTGGTGCAGTGGTTGAGAGTCCGCCTGCCGATGCAGGGGACACGGGTTCGTGTCCCGGTCCGGGAGGATCCCACATGCCACGGAGCGGCTGGGCCCGTGAGCCATGGCCGCTGAGCCTGCGTGTCCAGAGCCTGTGCTCCGCAACGGGAGAGGCCACAACAGTGAGAGGCCCGCGTACCGCAAAAAACAAACAAACAAAAGAAACATTTGTAGTATATTGCTACCTAAAGCACATTTGCTTTCCAAAAGGATTATCTATGTATACTGCCACAAGCAATGTATTTATCTTGCTAATAGCAAATATTAGGTATTTTAATCTATTTAGACATATAAAACATATAGATACTATATACACAAATATTTTAAACGTATCATTATTGTTTTAATCTCTATTTCTTTGATTACTAGTGAAGCTGAAAATTTTGTTGGTAGAGTAGTCATGGTTTTCTTTTTGATTTATAATAGCCCTTTTAAAAATGTTTTTAACTACCTGTGATGGTAATTTTTTTTGCAAATATTATTTTCATCATTTTACTTATGCTTTTGAACAAGTTTTCTTTTATAATTTATTCCACTGCATTGATTACGTTGCTTTATGCTTAGAAAATCCGTCCTCATCTCATCATTAGTTAAATACATGTTTTCTTCTAGAATTTTTATAGTTTTAATTCATCTAATATTTATTATAATTTATAGTAAAAGAGTGAAACTCTGACCTTATTTTTTCTCCAAATTCTTGGTCTGATCTCCCACCCAACTTGTCCTTTATCAAAGACTTTATTTTTAAATCATGAACTGTAGTTATAAATATGAGGGACTTTTCCAGACCTCCCTGTTCTACTATTGGCTTGGCTGTCTATTGTGTTGGTCCCATGCTATTTAATTTTTGTCACTTCTCTTAGGAGAGATAGTTATCAGTCACTCTTTAAAACAGTAAGTCATGGACATTTTCACATTTAGTCTTCTAGATAAACTTTAGTTTGTTCAGGTTTCTAAAGGAAACTGTGCTGGCCCTGTGATTAGGAATGCATGAAATCTGTAAGTTAAGCTGGAAGTAACTATGAACTTTATCATATTCAATCTTTCCAGCTGGAAGCAAAATAAATCTTTACACTTTCCTAATGTTCTCTTAAAAATTTATTATTATTGGTCAAATCTTTTCCTTCATTATATCTTCTTAGTTTTTTGTTGTTGTTGTCATGTGTTTGTTTTGCCTTGTTTTTTGCTGCCAAATAGGAAAGCTATTGATGTGGGGATATTTATCTCATAAATCATTCATTATTGGTCTGTTACCTGGCATAACTTGTTCTCCTCCTTTTCTGTAAGTTATACTTCCTATTTCTACTTCAGAAGAATACTACTAAATAATGAGTTGTATTCTTGTCTTCTCCCTGATTTTGCCTTCAGGTTTCCATTGTTAAATTTTACCTTGCGTTTTGGTTGGGATGGACATTCTTTAACATTTAGGGTTCCTATAGAGTTCAGACTGAAACTCAGGTATACTTACTTCATGATGGTATCTAACCACACCATCTGATTTATGCCGGGCCTAGGAGCCTCATTTAAAAATATTTAAATTGTTTATATAATTGAGGTTAACCATATAAAACATGCCTGAGTGAAAGAATTGGAAGGGGGGAAAGTTAAACAACAAATCCGATTTCAAGGAGAGGCAGTAGGGCTCCTAAGATTAAAGAAACTCACAAAGAGGGAGAAGTCTGACGTGGTGGCTAGATTTAATAACAGTCTCTCAGGAAAAGGAATGGTGGTTCCACTGCAAAAAGAAACTATTCCTGAATAAAGTACTTAGTTCATTTATTTTCTTCCTTCCTTGTAAAAAGCATTTTAACATTATGAATACACCTCACTGTATAGCTTTGGCCATATACCATGGTCATGTTAGTGTTTTTGTTTCCTTGGTACATTTTCCATTTTCTCTTTGACCCAGAAGGTAAAGCATTTCATTAATTGTATAACACTTTACAACTCAAGATGTGTGTGACAATCAAGGTGTCTTCCAGGACAATTAATCAATTTGCTTAATCTTTTGTTATTAGTTTTTAGTTTTATGGCATAAGATCAGACAATACGGCCCATTTGCTTTCTACTTGAGAACAATTTATTGAGATTTTCTTTATTCTCTGTTTCTAAAAATAGTTCACCTACATTTAAAAAGAAGTATATTCTTTGTTTAAATTTCACTAAGTACAACAATTAGCTATAAATTCAACTTTTCTATTAAATTTTCTGTCTGTATATTACCTACTCGATTTGTCAGAAGCTGAAAAAATGTGTATTACGTTCTACTATAATTATATTTGTATTCATTGCTCTCTATGTTTCTAGTATTTTCTACTTTATATCCTGATTTGTATTCCTATCAGATATCTATGTAGTTCAGTTCATTCAGGTTTATGACTTCTTTTTCCATAGGGTGGGTTGTACTTTTTATCAATGACCCAAAACACCCATTTTGATTCTTCATTCTGCTCCACAGGTTTTGGAGTGTTTGTAAATTCCCCCCAGATTCTAACAATAGGATGGCTACCATCTTATCTTTCAGTAGTTGCTACAGAGGTTTCATTTTATTCTGAGCCTCTGGATACATGTTTTTCATGGGAATTTAGAAGAGGCTAGGTCAGGTTTAATTTAGAACAGAAACCATCCCAGAACAAAAACATACTGAGTGTGCACAGTCTACCAATCTCTACGCTGAGCACTTGACCTACGTTCGCCCAGTTTAAACATCACAGTAACTTTATTAGATGGAGAAGCCCACTTCTAACATCTGCTGGCGTGGTCCAGAGTACGAGTGAAGGGGTCTTTCTCACACCCAGCCTCTGTCCCACACCACAGGCATCTCACATGTGTGCAGACACCACAGCCCCTCACATCCCAATTCCGTCCATTTCAACCCCCTCTTCTTACCCCTTGCCTTGATGGCAGCATTAGGACACCATTGTCTACCCTCTGAAGGTAGATTTGAGAAAGGCAAGCCCTGCTGTTTTGGTCCAGGGTACCCAGAATGTGGAGAGGCACAGGCACTGGGAGAGTGGCCATGTCCCCTTGGACCCACAGACTCTGAGTCACATGGGAAGACAAGGTCAGAGAAAGGACAGAGCAGGGTCCGCTAAGGTGGGATGGGACAGTGTGTCAGGATCAGCAAGGCCAGGGTGCCCAGGTCTAAGGGCAGTATTGGAAGTAAAGATTGTCCCCTGCAAGTTCCAGAGACTGGCCTTGAGCCTGTATTTGTCCAATCCTAAACCCACGCTACTTATCTTTAACTTATGTGCATTATAGGGGTACCGTGGTTTCAGACGATGGGCTATGGTGTTCTGGAGAGGACTTGGAGCTTCTTGAAGTTAAAAAGGAAGAAGTTTAAGCATAGATAACTTCTCCTCCTCAGAATGGTTGCATTATTTTGCCAAAGAAGAAACCTGAG